CCAGGCCCTGAGTTCAAACCCCATAGTGGACAAAAAGAAATGTATATTTGTACTTTTGTTAATCAACTGGGTATATGTATGTGGACTTAGTTCTGAGTTTTCTGTTCTTTTTATTTGATCTCTATATCTATCCCTCAGCAAATACCATGCTTTCTTGTTTCTGAAGCTATATGGTACACTTTAACATGAAGGTATAGTGATTTCTCCCACTTTTTCCTCTCCCTCAGTAGCTCTAGGTCCTATGCATTTTCATGTAAATTTTAAGAAAATCTGTCCATGTCTTCAAATATATTCCTGGAATTTTGATAGGTATCGATGGACTCTTTTAAAGGTCAGCTTCCAACTCATGAACATGATATGTTGCTCCATTTATTTACTGTCATTGATTTCTGTCATCACCATATTGTAATTATCCAGATGCAAATTCTTAGCATAGTTCTTTAAATATATACTGAAATACTTAGTTTTCTTGGGAGCAGTTTTAAGTAATATTGTATTAAAGTTCAATTTCCATATGGTTGTTAGTAGATAAAAGTGTGATTGCATTTTGTGTGTTGATCATGTATCCTTTGATATTGCTTAACTTCCATATTAGTACAAGGAGTTTTTTTGAGTATGTTCCTGAGGATTTTGTACATAAGACAATTATGCCATCTTCCTATAGGAAGTTTTATTTTTTCCTATCTAATTTCTATTTTGTGTTTTTTTTCTTGAATTGTCTAGACCTTGTAGAACTCAGTAATAGTAGTGAGAGTAGGTATCCTGTTTGTTTCTGATTCTGTATTTTACCCTAAATATGGTATGAGCTGTAATTTTTTAATACATATTTTTATTGTAAAGATGCTGTGCAGAGAGGTTACAGTTACATGAAAAGCTGTAGTTTTTGTTTGTTTGTGTTTTCCTAATAGGTACTCTTTATTAGGAGGAGAAAATTTTCCTCCATGACAAATTGGCTGAAACAGTCTATCAAAGAACCACTGACCATGTACCAGTGGCTCATGCTTGTAATCCTAGCTACTCAGGAGGCTTAAATCTAAGGATGACAGTTTTGAAGCCAGCCTAGGCAAATCAATGGGAGACACTGATCTCTAAGTAGCCAGCAAAAAGTTGTAAATGGAGGTGTGACTCAAATGCCAGCTTTAACCAGAAACAGCTAAGGGAGAGCTCCCTGAGCTTTGTTCAAGCCCTCGTGCTGGAGTGTACACATACAAAAAAGCAAAATACTGGAGGGTACATGCATACAATACACTTAAAGTTACAAGTATTTGCCCTTATAAAATTGTGGAAATTCATGGTATAGTCATTGTCAGATTGATGCTGGGACTTGAACAGTCTTTTTCAGATTGATATCGGGGGCTTGCTGTCCACAGGACAGGCAGTTGGGAAAGAACGTGAGCAGTGTGGGGTGAGGGAGATCGTAAGGGTAAGCTTGAACTCATAAGTACAAGTTGGATCTCCTGAAGTTATAAACTTGTCAGTTCTCAATGTCTCCACCTAATTAATGTGTGTGTTCTATAGGAAAAGGTGGTGCTGTATACCATAGACCTGTATACACAGTTGGTCTAGTATTTAAAGAAGCCAAGGAAAGATTCATGAGAAAGAGGCCTTGTTGCTACCCATTAAACAATGAGAGGCAGCATATAAGCAATAATGTTTATGAACTACATAAATCTCCTCCAGTTTTCTGAGTACGTTTAAAACCTAGTATGGCTGTTTCACTTTTATGCTCTAGGCTGTGTGCAGAAATGACTTTCTAAGAAGAAGCATGCAGTGAAGGAATTGTGCAAATAGTTTAGATTAGCTGAGTTAAGACATTTTTAGCCATGCTGCTTCGTCTTGCTTGCTTTTCAAGGGAAGGTGGGAATGGGGAGATTTCCTGCCACTTCCTGCCTGGTGTTGGTGGCTCATGCTATCATCCTAGCTACTCAGGAGGCAGAGATCTGAGAATCACAGTTTGAAGCTGGCCCTCACCCAGAAAGTGGAGAGACTATCTCCAAATAAACAGCAGAATGCCAGATATACTGCAGACACTTCAATTTAGTTCTACTTCCTATTAAGATTAACTTAATATTGTCTGAATAGAGAGATTTTTTTCTGCATATGACTTTATTAAAGGAGTTGACATAACTGACTAAAGGAAAAGAACAAGGCTGTTGATACTGAAAAGCAGAGTTAGGAAAGCACTTTTAACAAATTTTTTATTTCATGTGACATGATTTTTCATTTAAGCTACTTTAATGCCAACCTTCCCCAGGTTTCCTACTTCAGTGTCACCTTTTTTCCTGTTAGTTGGTCCTCTCAGTCCATTTAGGCTGTTGTAACAAAATTGTTAGGCTGGGAAGTTTACAATAACAGAAACTTAAGGGCTTAGATGGTAGTTCATTGGTAAAGCAGTTGTTAGTGTGTGCAAAGACTTGGGGTAGGAAGCCACAATGAACTTACCATCCATATTGCACGTGTCTAATTGTTGGAGGAGAATTCACTTTAGCTCTTTTTTATTTTTGCACATTTCTTGAACTGAGACACTTATCTGCCTTGTTCTGGATTATCTTTTCAGTGTTTTTTGTAATGAACAGATAAAAGTAAAAGGCAAATAAAAATACAATATGCAATGTTGTAAATAATAAACCGTTTGGGCAGTGGGCAAATTTTGCTGTCTAATACACTAAAGATAATTCATTTCTGGACAAAAGTCAGGCAAACTTGCTTGATAAAAGTTTTGAATTCTTTCAGCTTAGCATAGCTCAACTGTGACTCCAGTTCTTTTACAAGTACAATATTGACACAGGCCTCTCTGAGAACTGAGACATGAAACTTGGGAACAAAGATAACCAATGTGTATCAGAAGCTCATGCTGCTTTCTGAGTATAAAACCCATTGTCTCTAATACAGGTGTTTTATGGTTGTCTGCCATCATTTAAGAAATGATGGAAGGCTAATTGGTTATCTTGCAAATAGGTCAGTTTTTTTTTTTTACAGTTTTTAATAGCATTCAGAAATGAGGTTATATTTATTTTAATTTGTGAGTTTTTAGCTTTTTAACTTACAGTTCTTATTTTGTAGTCCTTTCAGCTTCAAGCATACTTTATAGGATATCTAGTTGACATGGTTTTTATTTCAAAAGTCACATACAAAGATGTTATTCAGTAACTATTTAACTGTAGCATGTCTTACCGTATGTTTATAGGCATTTTATATCCTGAGTTCTTGCTAAAATAACTCACTATTTTCTATTCTCTTGTGATCTACCACCATTTCTTTTTTTTTGGTCCAAAATGGCTAGGAAGGGTTTTCAAATCATACTTAAGCAATTTTGGGAAAAAAGTGTTTGTAGGATTTTAGTAAGTTCTGATTGCTATCATATTGTTAATTCATTTGAACACCATGATTTTGGGGGGGAATGCATGTGTGTGTGTGCGTGCACGCGCATGCGTGCGCATGTGTGTGAGCGTGCGTTTTAACTAACACACTCAGTAGGATTACCTACCTTGCCTTTACCCAATAAGATTTCTTTCCTGTTTTCTATCATTTGCATCTTTTAATCTGAAAATCAGATAAAGAACAATATTGCTAAACATGATGAAAATGCCTGAGCCAGGAGGATTGTAGGTTGGAAGTTAGGGTTATAGCCTTACACTTCCCACCCCAACCAAATGAAAACAACAAAAAGAGAACAACACAGTTTATGAAAACATTCTGTTGGGTTTCTATAGATGTTTTATTCCAATTTAAGAATAATAGAACATCTTCTTAATAATGTTTAACCTCTATATTCTTTACCTATTACCTGTTATAAATAAGAAGGAAATAAAGCAAATTGGCTTTGAGAGGATCTTGATCTTTATATTGAAAAGAAAGAACATAATAGTTAACTTGTTCTTTGTGATAGAAAGCAGTCATCTATTTATTATTAGAACTCAATAGATTATTTGTTTAATTAGTGCTCATCATGAATTCAGCTGCCTTTCATTACAGTTTCTGATAAACATTTTCTGCTCTGTCTTTGGTAAAAGTATTCATATTTTAAATATTCTGCTATTAAAGGGAATTTGGCTGGTTTTTTTCTGCTTTATTTCATCATTGTAATATAGCTTTAAAATACTTTAACCCTTGGGTGCAGGTGGCTCACATTTTAATTCTAGCTACTTGAGGTGAGATCTGAGACACATTATCAATGTTTGAAGCCAGTCTGGGCCGAAAAGTCCTAAATACTCTATCTCATTAACCCGTAAGCTCAGCAGTGTGGCTCAAGTGGTAGAGGACCAACCATGAGTAAAAACACTGAGTATGAAGCCTTGAGTTCAAATCCTAGTATAGGCACACACACAAAAAGATTTTGTTAGCACAATGATATTATTTGCCATTCTATTTTTTTTGGGGGGGGGGGTCATGGGGCTTGAACTCTGGGCCTGGGTGCTATCTTCAGCTCAAGGCTACAATTCTACCACTTGAGCCACAGTGACACTTCCGGTTTTCTGCCCAGTCTGGCTTTCAACCACAATCCTCAGATCTCAGCCTCCTGAGTAGCTAGGATTATGGGTGTGAGCTACTGGTGTTCAACTTTCCACTTGTTCTTTTTCTAAATATTTTCACTAAATGATACATACATATATATATATATATATATATATATATATATTTCTATTTCTACTTCATTTTACCACTGTATTACTAGCTAACATTAGTTGGCACAGTGAATACTAGATAAATATTAAATGAATGGGTCAATAAAGAAACTTTGGTTTTACTTCAATCTAGACACTGTATTTAGTGCTCCTTGCTTGAATCATTTTAGTCCTTACAATTTCTGCATGTCATAGGTATTCCAGTGAGAAATTGAGGTTTAGGAGGAGGTTAATTTGTCTAATACCACTCAATTTACAAATGATGGAGCTGAAATTAGAGCTTCAATCTATTATGCTGAATCCTAGGTGCTTAACTTCAGTGTAATACTTCTATTAGTAATAGTATGATTTATTCAGTTCTTTTACTTTAAACAGGAAGAAGAGAATTTATCCAAAGATTAAAACTTGAAGCAACCCTAAATGTGCATGATGGCTGTGTAAGTAATGGTTCATTGTCAACTATGAAGAATTTTAATAATGTATTTAAATGTTTGATGAAATACTGTAATCCTCCTAGAAGGTATTGTAACTAATAAAATGGGAGAATAACTAAATAGATAAAAATATGAAGCCAGGCACCTTTGGCTCACACCTGTAATCCTAGCTACTCAGGGGGCTGGGAATGTGTCTTAGTGGTAGAATGCTTGCCTAGTATGCATGAAGCACTTGGTTCAATTCCTCTGTACCACATAAACAGAAAAAGCCAGAAGTAGTACTGTGGCTCAAGAGCTAGAGTGCTAGTTTTAAGCAAAAGAAGCTCGGGGACATTGCCCAGGACTGGCAAAAACCAAAAGTACCAAACCTAAAAGTTACTCAGGAGGCTGAGATCTGAGGATCTCTGAGAGATAAGTCCCCATTAGACTCTTATCTACAATTAACTACTCAAAAACCTAAAGTGACACTGTTACTCAAGTGGTAGAGCGCTAGCTTTCAGCACAAAGAGACTCAGGGACAGTACCCAGTCCCTGAGTTCAAGCCCCACAACTGAAAAAAAAAAAGCAAATATATGTAAACTTAGAAAAGTGTTCTCAACATTTTTCAAGTGCAGTATAGTTTTCTAATACCATTAGAAGGCTTCCATCTTATTCACTCTACAAAATTGCTTTTTTGAAAATTACTGGTAACCTTCGTGCCTTCCTATCTAGTAGTCACTTCTCAGAGACTTATCTATGTTAAACATATCCTCTTTTTTTGAGATACTTTTTCTGCAAATAGCATATTATTTTACATTTATTCCTTTCCTTCTGACTCACTGCATCTTCTCTGTCTTCCTCATTGACTCCTCTTCTTTACTTCCAAATGCCAGATGGACAGAAACTATCCTAATGTCTACCTTCTTTTCTCCAGAACTGAGTGATCATGTCCAATTCCCTGGCTAAAAAAGATATTAATTCCACTGCTTTCCAGAGTACCAGATTTATATTTGCAGATTTATGTACTAGTTCCAGTTGCATGTCTAATAGGCACTTCAAATTCAACAGGTCTAAAGCAGAAAGCTTTTTAATGTTTAAAAGAATAGTTTTAGTGTTACTATAAAATGTTGTACAGAAGGCCTACCATTTCATAAATCAGGTTTAGATGTTATTATAACAATATACCTATCACTTCAACTTAGTAATTTTCAAGATTTTTTTTGCCACATACTCTTTTCTATTTTACCTTTATTTTTCCCTTGCTGGATTATTTTAAAGCAAATCTCAGATATATCATACTTATATGTACAATTCTGAAAGCAATAGACATTTTTTATATAACCAAATTCTACTATGTATAACTTAACAAGATTGATAGTATATTTTGGTATAATATATAGTCTCTCATTGTTTAAAAGTCTTTTTATAGTTGTTTGTTCAAAAGATGATCTAGGCCAACCCCATATCTTGATTGCTATGTTTCTTAAATTTCTATTCATCTGCAGTAGTGTTCTCCCTTTTGTACCCTGCCAGTGACTTGTTTCAGAAATCAGATCAGTTTTTCTATGGAATGTTTCACATTAGACTTATTGGATTATTTTTTCCAGTGTTATTAAGTTACTGATGAAGTTTGATTACATTCTGATTTCACTGTATTGGCAGGAATAGGTATAGGATAAAATATTTGCTTCATATTTTACTAAATAAAGCAGCACACAATGTTTTGTTGTCCTTTTAATGATCTTAGATTTATCATAGGACTGACTTGTCAAAGTAAATACTTAATCTTTTCTAAATTTGCAACTGTCTATTTTAGTAAATAAGATTGTCACTCATCTCATATAAAATTTTCAAGTCATCCTTTACCTTTCTCTTTTTCTAAACTTACATGTTCAGACTATCTACAAATAAATTACACCTGGAATCCATCCACATCTTTGAGTTTACCTAGTTTAAGCTATTCTCATCTTCTTCTGTCTCTGCCTTTTTCTCTCTCTCCCTTCCCTCCCTTCTCCTCCCCTGTCCTTTCTTTTTCTGGCAGTGTTGGGAATTAAACTCATGTATGTTAGGCAAGTGCAGTACCACTGAACCCATCTCTAATCTGTCCTGTTTTCTTGCCTGAACTGGTGGAGTATTCTCTTGTTTGGTCTCCTTTATTCTACTTGTGTTTCCTTGTATTATGTCCAACAAATGCTGTATTAGGCATGCAGATTAGGTCATGCCATTACTTTTATATCATTTCCTCTACTTTTCCCTACCAGATAGTAAGACTTACTATATGATTGGCAAAGGCAGAATGATTGAAAACATTTTTTTTGTGAAATAAGCTCAATGGCTTGAGTCTGGTAGGCTGTTTTTTGTTACCCTAGAGAGACAAGTGGACAAGTTAGAGGCTGGCAATTGCTGAAAATCAGAGTGCATTCATTTACAAATTCATTGAAATATTGTCTATATTATGTTGGTATACTGTTTCATTGCAGAAGGTGATATTGAACATTATATATATATATATATTTTATATTCTTTGCTATTGTGAAAATACTGCACAGAGGGGTTACAATTACACGGGCAAGATAATGAGTACATTTCTTATCAAGCATTGTAGCCTCCTCCTTTGTTTCCCATTCCCATCCCTTCCCATCCTCTCCCCCCCCACCCCCTCACCAGTTCCCCTCCACACACACCAAAGTTGTAAAGTTTGTTTTCTACATAACAGCTTGTACATCTCATTGTTGCAATGGGTCCACCTGTACCCAATTTAAACGATTTGTTTTTCCCCTTCCCCTCCACAAATTATACCGACATCAAAAACAGTGAAAGCAGGGGTTATACTGTGGGGGAGGGACATACAAAGCAACAAAGAAATAATCTTATGAATGTGTTAGAAACAATCGCATGGAAGAAAAAAAAACATTTGGATCAAGAAAATGTGGTATATATACACAATGGAATTCTATGCCTCCATCAGAAAGAATGACATTGCCCCATTTGTTAGGAAATGGAAAGCCTTGGAAAAAATTATATTAAGTGAAGTAAGCCAGGCCCAAAGAAACATAGGTCCCATGGTTTCCCTTATTTGCAATATCTACTATATGTATGAGTCAAGCAGAAAAGGTCAGGTAAGGTGATGTTAGGGAAATGAACATTATATTTTTAAATTGTTTTTGTTTAGCTTTTGAGACATGGTCTTGCTGTGTCACCCAAGATGGTCTGAACTTAAATTCCTCCTGCCCTAAATGCTGGGATTCTATAGGCAAGAGCCACTGTGCCTTTATGTTTTTAAAGAAATGGAGCTATTTTTCTTGATTTCCAGCCACGAAGGAAGTATAGATATGTGAACATGATCAGAATACTTTATATGCACATACAAAAATAAGATGATGAAACCCATTAAAATTGTAAAAAGAACTGGGCAATGAGTAATAGAGGGAAGAATTTGATCAAAGCCCTTTATATTCATGTATGACATATCACAAAAAAATCTCTTTGAACAATTAATGTACATCTGTAAAAACCAACTGATCAACAAACCTCCGAAGTTTAAGACTAGAGAAATCTGTGTCTTAAACACTTTAGGTAATTTAGATCTACTCAATAGTGGAGAACCTTTTATCTGCTAAGAGCCATTGGATATTTATAACATCATTTGATGGCCGTATTGATACAGGATGAAAGCTGATGAGTAGCATATATGTCATGTACCAAACAGTTTCAGAGAGTTGGTCGAACATTCCCCACTCCTGATAGATGACCCATTATTGAAAATATTGAAAATACTGAAAATTCTTCTAAGTCACCTTGGAAGAATTCATTATGTGAAAAGGGGGTCTAGACTCCAAACCTAAGGAACCCAGCATTTAAAACTTTAGCAAAATGCCTATATTAGTCTCTCAAAATTGTTTATAATTTCACAAAATTATGCTATAAATATAGTTTAGTGTTTATTAATCTTAAAGTTACTTAAAACTGTTTCGGCAGAGATCAAAATAACATATGACTATAGCAAAATAACATATGACCATAGCAAAAATTAATAGACTTTCCCTGCCATCTTTTTTTGGTTTCTTATTCTCCAAAGGCAACCTACTTTAGTCATTTTTATTTTAGATCTCTGCTGAGGAAAAAAAAAAGATCTTCACGTAATTGTAAAAAGGAGTTACCCTTTAACAAAGCAGTTTATGAATATGTGTTGATCACAGCATCACCTCTTTCAACATTTTCACCCATCCCTGTCTTACCCACCCCTTCCCTCAATCTTCTTAATTTTGTAGGATTCACATTGTATTCTTGATTGCATTTTTACCCCTTCTCTTCTTCATTCATTTATCCCTTTTCCCTTAAGCCCTACTCTACCTCTTTCTAACCTGGTGTTTTGTTTTGCTAAACTTTGGTTTTGGCTTTCTATGGAGTTATACTATTTGATATTTCCCTTGAATCTGCCATCTTTCAGTTAATATTTTATATACACTTGGATACCACACAGCATATTATAAGTTTATAAGCTAAATCTAGCTTCTATATATATGGGAAAACATGCATCCTTTGTTTCTCTGGGCTTGACTTATTTCACTAGTATAATTTTTTCCAGCACTTTTTTTAATTTAAATTTTATTGTGAAGGTGATGTACATAGGGGTTACAGTTACATAAGTCAGGTAGTAAGTACATTTCTTTTTGAACAGTGTTACTCCCTTCCCTTATTTTTTCCCCTTCTGACATTCCTTTCCCCCCAGTTGTAAAGTTTATTTTCAACATAGTATCTAGTGAGTATCACTGTTGAATTGGTTAACCCTTTGTCCCACCCTTTCTGTGATTCTCCTTTCCTTCCCCAATCAGACAAACTTATATACAAGACAAAGGGTACAGAAATCAAAAACAGTGACAATCTGGAATAAACCAAAGGGAAAAAAAAGAAAAAAATAACTGCACACAGTACAATTTTTTAAAAACCTCTTGTTTCCATTTCTTGGAGTTCATTTCCATAAGCATCGAAATGTATCTTTTTTGCTTGTTTGTTTTTTATTC